CTGAATTTTCCAAGAAAATTACCATAAAAGGAAATTTTTTAGGAAATTTAGGATCAGCGGGAAGAGGTTTTTTTTTTGACAAGTTTAATGATCCACAGATCATTAATTGATATATTATTTATATATTATTAATTATTATTATTATTTTTTTTTTTAACCTGCAATCATGTTATGATGGCTTGTCTTTATTGAAAAATTGAAATAAATTTATAATATTTTACAGACTTTTACAACATAACTAACTTGTCTTCATACAAAAGTACTCTAAATCAGATTTTGAGGACAATATTATACTCCTCTAATAGATTAGTAATAACCTTTATCTACCAAGATTATTGTCAACAGTTTGTCATTGTTGATTGTCCAAAAATTAATGAATTGCTAAGTTAAAAAGAAGAAAGGGAAAAAACGATTGGAGAAAGAGGACAATTCAAGACCTACAAAAAAAATCCAAAAATAAAAATAACCTCTTCTCAAAAAGAATCTGCCTGATTGGAATAGTCTTCTTGCTTCACTTGAATCTTGAAAGAATTCTTCTTTTTCACCACTTGTGGCATTAGACAAGTCAATCCAACTGATTTTTCATTTAAGTGAGCATCAAATTGGGATATTTCAAGGAAAGTATTTAGATCTCAGCTTTTTTCCATTAAAGCTTTATCACCACTTGAGGAATTTAGGTAAGAGATAAGAGTTTGCAATCTACATTATCCATCGTTTAGTCTTTTGGTGTTATGGAAGTCTTCATTAAGGGACTTGAACTTTTTGAGGGTGACTGTTTTCGGAATATTCTTTTCAATCACCAATGACGTCATCAGAACAAGTGAATGTGACCAATAGAAGCTTGTTTATATTCTAAAAACTAACGTGTTTCATGTCAGCCAATCACCTTTGGTAGGGATTTGTGCTACCAAAAATTCAGGATCAAACTGAGATAGGCAAAATTCCCCCAAAAACCATGAAAGCAATAGTTCTAAGAGACCTAACAGTGACTGGAAGGGAAAAAATAAAACCTTTTGTCATCAAAAACCTCTATATACCTCTCGCTTTAAAGATTAGATAAACCTTCAGATACTTTACAGTCAGTTCTTCTTCCTTTGGGAACTTTCTTGCCATTAGTATCAAAGGTGTTTCTTGACTTTTCTTGGTCATTAGAAGTCAAGTTTTTAAGTGAAGAGGTTTGTAAACAAAAGGAAAAGGGTAGAGGTGACTCTTGAAGTCATATTTCAGTTGTTTTAAGGAAAGTATTAAGACTTTATTAGCAAAGAAGTATAAAAACTTCTTGAAAATATTTTTTTTGTGTGTGATCAAAAGATCAGCAGAAAAAATTCTTAGTTTTTTTATATTTTATTAATTATATATCTTTTAAATTATTAAATTATATTAATGTTTTAATTTTAATTTTATGCTATAATAGATTTCTAATAATAATAACTTAAAAAAATTAATAAATAAATATTAGATTAAGATTGTTAAGTATTTATTGTTTATGATATATATATTGATATTTATTAATTAAAAATAATAAAAATAATTCAAAAAATAAGAACTTTTTTTTTCAAGAAAATAACAAATACAATTATGATTATATCTATTCTTAATCTTAGAATTTGTTGAATTGATTAAATTCAATAATATATTTTTTCTTATTACATATATTTATTCTGAAATAAATTTTATAGATTTTTTAATTAATTTTTTTAAATTTTTTGAGATATTTTATTTTTTTAAAATACTTTGTTTTTTCAATTGATTATAGTTAATATTAATAATGAATTTTTAAAATATTTAATATATAGAATTTTACAAATCATTTATATCTTTTTTTGTGAAACAAAATTTATAGCTCTTTACATTAATAAGGATAAAATTTTAAAAAATACTATAAATCAATAATTTAGATAATAAAAAATTATTAAGTGCAATTTTTTAAAATATTTTTTTAATAAGAACATCTCTTAATTATAGATAAAATAAATATTTTGATTTTAAATTTTTGAAAGAATAATTGCTGCTATTGAAAATAAAACTGGATTTTTTTTTTCTTTAGGCATATGAAATCTGTGTATTTTTTACTGTTGTTACAGCAATGTTTACAAAAGAAAAAAAAAAAAAAAAATTCTTTTCTGAATGGCTATAAAATGATTTAGTATTATAATCGAGGGTAACACTGGAGGGCGAATTGTGATTTAAAAAAGACAGTTCGTGCATCGGTTTCATCCGATTTTGATTGATTAGGAATGACCAAGTGAATCTGATTCGAGGAGATGGCTCATCTAAGCGTTGGCGATTGTAATGATCTTTCTTACTGAGTCATCAATTTGTAAGCTCGGAAATGATCGTCTCGACAATGGATGTTGATTTTTTCTACGTATGTCGAAAAGAATCACATTTGAAACCCTGCATGCGTGTATATTACTTGTTAAGTCCTTAGGTGACAGGAGCGAAATATATTTGAAAAATTAATTAATACTCGAGCAATTGTGGCGAATGCGGTTACCATCATCATTGTCCTTGTCACTAATTATGGTCGCGAATGGACTGCGACGCTTTATTGTCACCACCGCTTACTTCACTTATTCTTTTTTCCATGGCCCTCCTTCCCTCACAAATCCTCACAAATCGAGTATATATGTGCAGCTCGTTGCTTATCTTGTGTTTGTGTCTGACAATTAGAACATTTACGGTTATTCGAAAAAAGCCAACGCTCAATTTGTAAAGGTCAAGCATGCGGTTTACCCGTGGATCAACAATAGTGATAAATAAAGCTGACCCGGCATTTCTGCCAGCTTCTGGGGTCCTCACTTACATCAAGTTATAGATCAGGTAATTGCTTTATCCGATATATGCCCTTTAATTGGGATCGTACAAAGCAAATAAATTTCTTTAAACGATTACATCAATTATCCTTTCTATTCGCTATACACCCGGCTGCAAGTAAGTGCCTATTCACCATACTGCCTAATATGATGTATCGCGAATTCAGCCAAGCTTACATATAACCAATTCACAATCACGTGTTGCACTTTCAGAATATGGAAATTGCGATTGGCTGATTTAAATTATGGGATTTTCCCAACTTCATCCACTCAAAATTCCAATCCCGCGCTTCGTTCGAAACACAAATATTAGTAATTATATAAATGTGTCGTGTATAATAACACAATATGTGCAAGGGAAAATTTGTACAATCTTTTCTATATCTCATATTTATATTATTGGTCGATTTATTATTACCAGTTGTTTAAAACTTCAAAATACTAGCTGGTTTCGTTCCTATAGCGTTCTTATTGTTTTATTTTAATGTAAATACGTTTATTACTTTTCGTCGAGTCCCTTGACGGTCTATTATTCTCTCCTGCATTTTTTTTCTATTCTTTTATGTATACACGTATACTCTTGATTTCGAAACTTCAAGCTTTTAAGTCTTTGAAATCTTGTTGACACTTCAAAAACACCACAATTCTTTTGAGCAAACCAAAAGTCACCAACATAATTTTTATAATATAGTTTAATTCTTCCGCAAAACTAATACACAGAAACGCCAAAAAATCAACCGACATCAAAAATATTGTATGTACAAGGTTCTTTTTGCGAACTTTTACCTTTTATTTGTTCTTCCGCCTAACCTTTTGATTTATCTCTTCTTCCAGGGGAAGCAATGCGAGAGTTATTACTGGTACGAAAATTAGAGGAAGAGCAAGCAAAAAGGAAGCCGCGCGACACACCTCCCGACTCTGCCTCAATCCAAAAGCCTTCTGATATCACCGACTCCGTCGACACGGAGCGTTCAATACAGTCGCAAAATCAGGATTCCCCTCCGCCCGAAAATAACCACGATGTCCACGATTCTGTTTCCTCCGAACAAACGCATATTACGGCGGCGGAAGACGACCAACATATAAATAATCGTGACACTAATATTGGTAATGATAAAAATAATAATCCTGGTGAATCACTGATATCAGACAACGAGCAGCAATTACCATCGACTTCTCAACACTCTGCGAATCACATCGAAGGAAATTCTTTGTCAGATGACGACCTTGTTCACGGTGTTGTTGAGGCTGTCGATTCATCAAAACTCGTTGATAGCATAGAGGGTGCTAATGAGTCAGATGCCTATGGTTTGACCACAGGCGCAAGTGCAGATAATGAAAGCAAAATGAATAAGGGTTCAACCGAATTACAATCAAAACGTGCGAGTCTCAAAGAGTTTTTTTTACATAAACAATCATTTTCAATTTCAAATAAAGACAATTTCACAGACAATTTAGCATTAGATTCTAATTTCGAAAATGTCGAAATTCAATCATCATCTCCGGCTTTAATAAATAGCTACGCAACTGATGGAACTGTTTCCAATAGCCCGTTAGAAAAAAGGTAAGTGTCGTATTTGGATGTCTTTCCCATTTAAAAAATCTGATAGCTTATAAATAATATAAATTGTCTCATTAAAATTTTGATTAATTTGATCATCGCTGCGTAATCCAACTAATAACATTTACCCCTTAATTTCCTATTTTGGTCAGCAATCAAGTCGAAAAGGAGCAGCCAAACCAGGGAACTGATGATAACATTTCGCAAAATAAACTTGAAAATTCAGATTTGCTGTCAAAAGACGACCCAATCGAATCAACCAAATCTGTCAAGGAAAATATCGAATTGAGTCCGGACGAAAAACGCCAGAGGTTAGCCGCCACTCGTTCGACGCAGAGGAAGGAATTGAAAAGCCTCATGAGACAGAAAAAATTGCAGAAACAAAGTGAGGAAGTTGATGTGGTTATAATGGAGCCTACGAAGAAACCCACCGTCAATGATGATGCTCAAGTATCAAATGATCCACCGACCGTCTTGATTGACTCTGCGGAGAAGGAAGAGAAAACGTTAGTGCCAGTTGAATATTGGCTCACGTTATTTAACGAGAAAGAAGATATTTGTTCTTAATTTATTGACACTTTATCTCTCAATTTTTTAGTGCGTCCTCTCGAATAAAACGATCAAAAGCCAAATCGTCTTCTTCGGCCGATTATGATTCGGACGGTTCTGTTGACCTGGATGTTCTGATCGCAGAAAACAGCGATTTGGACTCGGGCGCAATGCAGTTGAATGACGATGGCTTGAATGATGACGATGACAACTTTTGGAATATTGATCCCGCAGAAGTATGCTCCTACTAAATTTTATTGTGTTCCCTTTTTTCTCTATTATTCTTGCTCACTTTTTTTGTTTTTTTTTTTTTTTTTTCATGTAACGCTAGCTTGAAAGGCATCTGACACCGTCAACTACACCTCTACGTCTCCCATCTCCAGATCCTCAGTCTCCCCCAACTATGTTCTCTTCGGTGCATGTTTCTAGACCTTTCAGCATGATTGCCGAGGAGGATGAGAATCTAAGCGATACCCCTCTTGAAGTCGACGGACAAGAAGCTGATGATATTCTAAACTCGTTTTCAAGTTCAAATGGCTTCAATGTAAGTTTCTTTTTTTTAAAAAAATAATTTTTGTTTTTCAAATATTTCTCTTTTATTGATTATAAATCATCCAATTATGATTGTAAAAAAGATTGGTTCAAAGGAGGATGAGGATGAGGAAGAGAAGATTGATATGATGTTGGATGCTCAATGTACGCCAATTCTAAAGCCATTATCTCCATCTCCTGCGCCTTCACCATCACCATCACTTTCAGGAGGAAAAATGGGAATTCCGGTTGGAATGTCGAAAACCGTTTTTGCCTCACACTTCAGCCCTTCTCCTCTTTCTCCAACTTCTTCAAGGGCTTCATCTGTTGGTGACCCTGAGGAATTTGAGACAATGTCAAATGGATCGTACACTTCCGTTCGTTCGACGGGCAGCACAAAATCTGGTGCATCCGGGATACGGCGACCTTCAACGACTACAGGATTGCGTGCTCCTAGTCGTGCCGGCTCCCACATGACCATCGCCTCTAGAATCGCTACCGGTCAGAGTACGCCTGCAGCTACTCCAATAAGATCAAGGTCAATGAGTGCTGTAAGCAACAGTTCTACCGAAGAGAGTACAACTTCATCGATAGGCGCGACTTCTCCCTCACGGATTGCCTCACCTACTCGCGGAATTCATATGAGTATGTATAACGCTCCGCCTCAATCGAAGTCGGGAAGCAACGGCCGCCCTAGGTCGACGAGCCGAATCAGTAATAGTTCTGCTGAAGAGGTTTTAGTGAGGCCCACATCAACTTATGGCATGCGACCGTTAAGCAGGGCTGGTTCGCATATTGGCGCAACAAAGTCTTCAGGCATAACACAAAGTCGGATTCAAGACAGTGTGCACTCAGCATCTATCGCTTCGACCAAAGCTAGTTCTTCAACTCGTTCCATATCTCAATCACAACCACACCCAACAGGTTTGATGCGACCTTCTAGTCGAGCTAGTACGGTTAAGTCTCCTATTCCCCCTCCGACAACTCCTGGGCGTCCTCTAAGTCGTTTCGGAAGTTTATCAGAATCTCAAAAGAACACACCAACAAAAAAAAGTCGACCTCAATCTCTTAGTGTTATCAACCAATCAATAAAGTATGAGCAGCCATCAAACATTGATGCTACAATCGGTCAAAATTCTATGTCCGGGATTAGATCTCCTTCATCAGGTTTACGAACTATCAATTATTTAGGTAGTCGCCAGAGCTCTGATAGTCTGTCTTCGCATGATGAGTACCTTGTGTTTACTCCTCCTGAGTCACCCACAGGAGCTTCTGAAACAGATTCACTCACCTCTTTAACAAGTTCTGTTTCATATGGTTCTTCTCCCGGTAGGGGGACATCTCCAGTGCCTCCTTATAATACCTCAATGATCTCACCTGCAAGTGTAATTTCGCCTAACTCTTCAAAACGAGCATCCATGATTAGCAAACTTCCTGCCTCTAAGGTGCCCCCTTCGAAGCTTATGGCTCCTAATAGTATATCGGCTGGTCAGAATACATCAATTCCCACTGGTCTGAGAATACCTCAGGCCGGGTCTCGAAAGCAAAGGGGCTAAAAGATTGTCTAATGGAATTATGTAAACATATTTATAAATATCGACTTTTTGGAATGACCAAGTTCTTTTGTGTTCCCTTTCAACCACATATTTTTCTTTTAAAATTGAGTTTCCTGTGTTATAGACTAGTTTATAATGATGGTTTTTTGTGAAAAAAAAAAAAAAAAAAAAAAAAAAATTTTTGAAAATTTTTTTTTTTTGTAAACATTTCTTTTTTTTTTTTTAA